CGTTTTAGGTAGGTGTGGCTGACTCTGAACTTTTATAAAGAATATCTCTTTGGATTTGAGACTTTAGTCTTTGCAAATTTACAGATCTTCTTTATGCACCAAGAGCTTGTAACACTCCAAAGAGAAAGGAAAAAATGAAATCGCATCATATGACCCCTTTAATGCATTGTGTGGCCTTCTTGAGCATCAGTACGTTTTCACTTTTTGTAATAGTTATGCATAAGTCCCTCAATTGTCCTCAGTGTTAAAAGATGGATTTCAAAGTCATACAGTCAATGTTGGAAAGGGTTCAAATATGCAGAAAATGCTGGAAAACCAACGAATGTGCAGGAGCTGGAGGATTTTTCTGAAGAACAGCAGGCATTTGAACTGCTCAGGACAAACAAGGGACTCATGAACAACTATCACAAAATATAATCGTGGATCATCCAGGAAATGACGCATAGTATTAAGACTTTTCAGTAGGGTCATTTTTATAAATTCAGTTATTATTTCGTCTTGTGGAGTATATGTAAACATCTGTTATGTGAAATAGCTTATTCAGGACAGTACTAAATAAAAAATAACATGCAATTTTCATAATCCCTCTTATTTTGTTTCAATTGTGACATACATTAGAGTGAAATCATATTTCTAGTCCTATCTCTGCATCATATCTGCTGAATGAAATCCAATACTTGTTTCTTATTAATTCTGGGGCGCTGATTCCAAAAAGAGTAGCTGTTTTCCACAAAATATGATGTATTTTGTAGCATTTTTGCTTTCAACAACCATTTGTAAGCTGAAGAAGTCTTGTATTTTCCCTTTATCAGCAGAAAAACTGCTACAAGACATGATTATACTGTATGTATGTCCAATTCTCAGCCCATTTTCACATATGAATGATTCTGAAGACATTATTTTATGGTTAAAAGTTAAGTTAAATTATAAATCTTGAATACTTATTTTTGTCTTTAATATGGTAACATTTGACTGCTTTTGTCAATTTTTAAAATGCTAATACATGCATGCATGCATAAATAAATATATTTGAACTAGGGATGCACGATATTGGATTTTTGCCGGTATCCGATATGCCGATATTTTCAACTAATTTTGGCCGATACCGACACCGATATATTTCCTTTTGTTTGGAAACTTTATTCTGCAATCTCTTCTCTTCCCTGTCATTATCCTTAGGCGGTTAACACAGTAAGCACAGTGAAGGCTTCCGTGTTCTACGGCCGAACGTCGGCTCATTATTGGCCAAAGCTGCACATGTGAGCAGCGCGACGCATGCGTGTGATGCTGATGCAGGAGCCGTCCAATAATGAGCCAGCGTTCTGACGTAGAACCTGGAAGCGCTGGACATAAATAGCGTATTAGAATGACACCGAAGAGAAGAGGTTGTTGAATAAAGTCGTTATTTTTGTTGTTTTTGCGCACAAAGTATTCATAAAATTATTGTAGAACCACTGTAGTCACGTCGACTGAGTTTATGATTTGTTTTACAAAATAAAACATATTACACATTAATGAATAAATCAGTATATATAAAATTATGTAATTTACAAGTGTCATGTTTGTGATTTTTTTTTTCATGTAAGCTATAGCTTCTGACCTTTAAATCAAAACATACTCATTATTTTATGACATCAATTACTGCTTTATTTAATCAGAAACACAGTCTAAATGTTATTTGTGTAGGCTATTTTACTTTACTTTAATTTAATTAGACGTAGGCCAACAGTGCCCCCTACAGATTAAAACTTAAAACAGTCGACGTGACTACAGTGGTTCTACAATAATTTTATGAAGCGACGAGAATACTTTTTGTGCGCAAAAACAAAACAAAAATAATAACTTTATTCTGCAATCTCTTCTCTTCCCTGTCATTATCCTTAGGCGGTTAACACAGTAAGCACAGTGAAGGCTTCCGTGTTCTTGCACACAAAAAGTATTCTTGTCGCTTCACAAAATTATTGTAGAACCACTGTAGTCACGTCGACTGTTTTAACGACGTCTTTAGCACCTTTAGGATCTTTAGAGTTTGGGTGGCGTTGCTGTCAATGGAGGCCTCTCTGAGCCATCGGATTTGATCAAAAATATCTTAATTTGTGTTCTGAAGGTGAACGAAGGTCTTAGGGGTGTGGAACGACATGAGGGTGAGTAACTAATGACAGAATTTTCATTTTTGGGTGAACTAACCCTTTAAATGCAGCGATCCAAAACAGTCAATCTAATCATCATTCAGACAAAACTTTGCTTCAAGAATGAGCCACACTGCTGACGTGATCTAATCACTAGCACACCCTGAGCACATGTGAGTTAACGTATTTCTCTTATCGGCAACACATATCGGCATAATATTTCATATCGGGCCGATATTTACATTTAAAGCCATTATCGGCCGATTCCGATATCAGTCCGATAATGTCGTGCATCCCTAATGTATATATATTCCGTTTATGTATACTGTATTCTATATATAGTACCAGTCAAAAGTTTGGACACACGAATGGGAAAGTTTTTATTGTAATTATTACATAAGTATATACAAAATTATTGTAGAACCACTGTAGTCACGTCGACTGTTTTAACGACGTCTTTAGCACCTTTAGGATCTTTAGAGTTTGGGTGGCGTTGCTGTCAATGGAGGCCTCTCTGAGCCATCGGATTTGATCAAAAATATCTTAATTTGTGTTCTGAAGGTGAACGAAGGTCTTAGGGGTGTGGAACGACATGAGGGTGAGTAACTAATGACAGAATTTTCATTTTTGGGTGAACTAACCCTTTAAATGCAGCGATCCAAAACAGTCAATCTAATCATCATTCAGACAAAACTTTGCTTCAAGAATGAGCCACACTGCTGACGTGATCTAATCACTAGCACACCCTGAGCACATGTGAGTTAACGTATTTCTCTTATCGGCAACACATATCGGCATAATATTTCATATCGGGCCGATATTTACATTTAAAGCCATTATCGGCCGATTCCGATATCAGTCCGATAATGTCGTGCATCCCTAATTTGAACTCAGTATCATCAAATTAGGTAATATTGGGCATTTTTGGGCAATCAGCAGAAATGTTATTTCAAGAAGCAGGGCAGGGAATTGGTGGTTCTTGGATTTGGTTGTTGATTGGATGTTGAGATGTGAACATTGCACTCAAAAGTGCAGATGAACGTGAGCTTGCAGGATTAAGGTTTAAACCAAAAGAGTTGGGTTTGAAGATCAAAAAGGTGATTTTTCTTTATTCATGAAATATATGCCCGATGATTTGCTCATAATAAGAGCTACAGTATAACATGCAGTCAGAAAATAGAAAGTGTGATTTTCATTCAATGCAGACTTTAAAGTGTCTTCTTGCCTTACTGTGGCGCAAAATCCTTTTCTGTCAATCGAGAAAGATATATATATTTTTTTTGCCTGCAGAATGCTGTAGTTATGACATCTACAAATACAAGATTGCTAACCAAATCATGATCCTCTGCTGGTGACAAACCTCAGTGCTGATAAAGTTATCCTTCAATGTCTGTGGCAGTAAACCAGCTGTTATTTGCACAGAAAGATTCTCTTCAGACTGATTATGCAGTTGTGCATGACGTTATAAATTAATCATTATTCATTGATATATTAGTATTGATGCATTTTTGTTTTCATGTAAAAATGCAAAAGACATAATTAATGTTCTCAGTCCAGACATGTTTTTATTGTTGATGAACCTAATGAATATTAAAGAAAATTAGATTTCCAATGAGCAATCAACTGAATCAAATACTGTAGAAAATCATTTCAAAAGGCTTTGCTGTTTTCATCTTATTGGTCAGGTCTTTTTGAAAAAAAAAATCCCTTCTTTATGAAATATGTTGATTATCGAAGGTCTAGGTC